CGAAAACAGACCAAGACACATAAGCGCACTATATGACACAGGCTGAAAAAACACCCAAGAAGCCAAGGAGCGCACAAAGAAAACCCCTGCGGCAGAGGAGGAAACTAAGTGAACGTACAAGGAAGGGAAGGGAAGCGGCGGAAACCGACCCACCCCCCCTCCCCCATACAGCAGCAAGTGCAGGCAAAACCGAGCAAAGGGAATTGTCGCCAGGGAAGCGACAGGGGAGAGGCAGGACGAAAGAGCCAAAGCTCAAAACCCCAGGAAACACAACCAGGGGTAAATCATCAGGCGTGGACAGAACCCCACGCACACAGAAGGGCCAAGCCAGGGACCCGAAGACTACGAAAAATAACACAAGCGAACCCCAACACGCAAACCCCAGGCACAAAACAGCAGCAAAGTGTCACACCACAACCTGACACAGGAACAAGGACATGCCACCGCAAAACACGTTATCAATGCACACGTGCAGTAGCAACATGCACCACACGCAACACACAACAAGTATATAGCAACTTGCCTCTGCGAAGGCAGAGAACGGTGCAGGCAGACTCCAGGCCGACCCCAGACAGGGTTAACGGAGACACAACAGAGCCCAGCAGGCCCAGAAACCCACAATAAGTACAATAATAATATCACACAATAACTAAATGTGTGGTGTATATGAAGCTCACATTCACAGACGAGTGTAATGCCGTGATACCACACAGATAAACATGCATACACCATCAGGTGTCTTCACCTATACCTGTGCCAGGTATGAGAAGGTGAGACTGTGGTTGATACCTCAGATCAACACAGACAGACACAATAAAACAATGACAAGATCTTGTACTTACAGGTGGGGTACCTCTCTTATTCACTCACTCACTCAGGCACATTTATGCAAGAACTCGTAGGAGGCCTGACAGCTGGTTCTGCTTGTCATGACGTAAGACCATTGACGACAGGCTTTCCCACAAACCGTACTTGACACGGGGGGTACTCACAGGAGGGCGTGCTGTATGTCTCACCGACACACGCACACACTTGGTGGCACTGGCGATGTGTAAGGGTGGTGACGTCATGTAGTAGTGAGGGCGGCGGCTGGTGGGCTACATGCTCGGGACAGAGTGGCGGCTGGCAACGGCTGACTATATGATACCATGTGGTACACTTGTGGTAAAGTCACACATAGGTTACATAGGCAACGGCACTGCCTTAGTTCACTCTAGGTCACTCACAGACGATCTCTATTTGTCACCAGGGGTTACCTGATACCAGTTTGTTTCGCTCTGGTGATTTGTCACTACTAAGCTTCTGAACAATATAGTTACAGTCACGATTCCGGGCGAGTGTTGGTATATCGAAAAGACGCTGAGTTTAACTTGACGGTGAGGAATAGACGGTGTTCTTCTGTCTATTGACCGATAGACAGAACAGGACACTTCCTCTATGTAAGGGCTTCCTCACATGAATGCTCTTGTCAGCGACTGTAGGGCATCTCGTGGGACACAACACAAGGGATTACAATTTGACCAATGACATTGCAGCAAAAGATCGGGAACCAATGAACCAATCATATTGATCGTTCCCTGATCAGTAGCAGAGGTGACGTCATGAACACGTCACGACCACGTCACAGTTGTTATTCTCCATGGCGCCGGTTGAGGCTAACCCCAGAGGTCAGTCGCCTCGCTGGCATCTCCTCTCCCTCTCTCACGCTAGCACCTCCTATGTACTCACTGACCCTTTGTGGCAAGTATGCTTAACTTTCCTGTATCTACTTCCTGCCTGGACATACGGCGGCCTCTGTATTATAAACGTATTCCTGGTTAAGTGGGCATCCTGGAGATGCCCAACATGCCAGTTTACTATCCAGGGTTAACAGAGATAGGGCTTGTGCATGAGGATTGGTGCACTGAACACTGCAATGAGCCATTCAAGTCAGCTGTGGGAGAATCCTGAGAGACCATTCTCTCACACCCCGAAATTGTCAGAGCCTCACCACCAAGGAAACCCTGCCCTGACTCTGAAACCCCTCAGACATTTGGGAGCCGGGAGCAGATGAGGGGAGGGGGGGGGGGGTAACAGGATGAACTACAGCAGGGGAGGGACAAGGGGGCACGGACGAAACTAAAGTCGCTGCAACTAACACCCCCCAAGTCCAGGTCCCAATAACGCAAACGGGGCAGCCGTAGGAAAGGCAACTAAATGAGCACGTTGCAGCAACCTAAACCTCGCATGCAACGTGGAAGCTACCTGCACCCGAATATCAGTAACAGTGAACTGGGCGAACTGGAGTATATGCAAAGAACACCACTCGCAAGACTCCGGGTCAAAGGTGTTTGACCCAACAGGCAGCATGGCTGAGGCAAAGATGGTGAATGTCACCCTGAAATAAGCGGACATAGCAACTTTCAAACTCGCAAGAAGTGAGGTGGGACTCTGAGGACTCTTTCATCGGACCAATGAGCCCCAATGGGGTTTCCAGGGCCCTTAGGACCCCTGGCCAGGGACAGCAAAACTGCTAAGGAAAGCCCAGGCAAGGTACTGCTAACCGATTATTGCAGAGCTACCAAGCAATCAAACTAAAAGCTGAACCCCTGTGATGTGTACAATCATGGGGGCCTAGAGGAGAGTCATCAAAAATACATGTGCACCTATAGACACACAAGGCAGACCCCCGCCAGGCAAACAAAACAAAAAGAAAAGAAAAAACCCGCAAAAGCACAACGTCTCCAGGCCGCTATGCGTATATCAGACAGCTGTACAGTACCTGCGCCCCAGCCAGCGACGATACTACCTCCTACCTATGGTCAAACAAAGGCAGGAACAACTCCAGCTAACCCCAAGGGTGGGCACTCACCGAGCAGCAAAAGAACCCTCTGGAGGCAGTTCCCGAACGGCTTATTGAAGATAACCCTAAACCGCAAGGGCAGTATTTACAGGGCACCTAGGGAAGGTGACCTTAAGTGCATGCAACCCACGTACTTCTGGAATTACTCCTGGCTTGCACACCATCACACTACAGCTCAACACAAGGATTGGAGCCAGAATCGATCAACCACCACCCAACACAACAGCCTCAGAACTGGGGTTGGGTAGCTGGCACGGGAGGTCTAGGGCTGCCCCTTCCCCCCCCCAGGGGAGGGGGTAGCTGCGCAGACAGCGGTGGCTGTGGTTACATCACGCTTGTTTGCTTGTTTTCTGATTGGGGAGTTCTGCCTGCTCGTTCGGATTTCGGTTTGCAATTTTTAACCAGCTGTAGTTTGTTTTGGGATTCCTACCTTTCTGGGTGCCTGACCTGGTAGATGGCAGACATAGACAGCTTCCAACTACATGGGGGTATCTATAGGCCACTGCTCCTTGTGCCTCTCTGAGGGGGCCATGTTCTGACTAGTGGTCCCCGGTAGGCAGAACTCCATTTACTGAAGCTCCAGACTAATATAGCAGGGGCTCCCCATGGAAAGAAAGGGCAGTCTGCCAGTCAGGAAGATGCTAAAATCTCATAATGCACCCAATACGGGGAAGAAGAACCAAACTAAAAAAAGAGACCGGGTCCAACACAAAAGCAAAGTTCAGGTCTCGCAGTAGGTATGCACACCCATAGCCTCCTGAACATCGGCAGGGGAAACACGAGAAGTGGAAAACCTCTGGAAGGACGAAGCCATGGAACCCTAAGGAACCCGGAAACGAACCCAGGGAGGAGCTGAACCCAAATTAAAAGGGGTGGAAGGGAAGGGAAGGGAAGGGAAGGGAAGGGAAGGGAAGGGAAGGGAAGGGAAGGGGGAAAATGAAAACCCCTGAACCCTGCAACAGCAAACCCCACCCTGAGGGCACCAAGGCCTTAGGCAGGATCGAACAAGGGCCCCAAGAGCCCCAAGCCGACACCCACTCTAGCCTTGGTAGCCTCCAATACAGGCTCCGGGGCAGAGCAGTCCTCCATGCCCTAAACCTTTGGGGCCTGACAGCTGAGGATTCGTAGCACTGCTATGAATCACTGCTCTGGATTCGTAGTCCTAAGGTTTCGAGTTTAATCCCCGGTGGAGGCAGAAATAAATGGCCATAATTTTTCACCCTGATTCTCCTGTTCACCTAGCAGTAAATAGGTACCTGGAAGTTAGACAGTTGCTACTGGCTGCTTCCTGGGGATGTATAACAAAAAGAAGGCCTGGTCAAGGACTGGGCCGTGGGTGTGCTAAGACCCGAAATCATTTCAAGATAACCTCAAGATAACCCTTGAAGAAAGGGCAGAGTCCAAGGGAAAGGCAGCAAAGAAGGAGGTCTGCTGGTAAGACCCAGAAGCCTCAACGAGAGGATCAGGCTCAAAGGCCTCTGTCCCGAGCAATAAATGGTGCAGCCCCTGGAGTCGCCCGAGTCTCATCTCCAACTAAACCCGTCCCGACTCTGAAACCCTCAGACATTTGGGAGCCGGCAGAGGGGGAAGGAGCACTGCTGGAAGAGCAAGAAGGTCCCAGCCAACCTACTTCTCGGTGGGCTGGGACACCCCCTCAATGAGCCGCACACGGTGTGATGACGTCTTGCTTGTTTTTCTTTGGAGGAGTTTCTAGCCTTTGTTCAGTCTCAGGTTGCAATATTTCTACCACAAAGGGGGTCTGTATTAAAGCGCCTACCTAGTTTGGGTGCTCAATCCCAGTCAATGGCAGACATGAATACTTTCAGACATTTGAGTTTCATAGGCCATTGCTCTCTGTGCCTCTCTGAGGAGACTATGTAATGACTAGTGGTCCCTGGTAGGCTTGACAACTCTGTATGACTGAATCCCTATACTAATATTAGCTAATATCAGTCTAGGGAGCCTCCAGGGCTCTACCCAGAAAATAGCATTTCATTACATTCAAAGCTGGTTTTTTGCCAGTTGCACCTCGATGGAATACTATTAAATAGCTGCAAACTCCAAGGGTTAAACAATGGCCATAAATTAACCAATGTATCAAAAATCTTTATCCACTATACCCATACTTGAAATAATTTATCAGGATTTAAAATCATACCAGAGACATGTATTTAGGAGGAATCACAACAAATGATCCGGGCTGAGTTCCTATGGGAATAGCAGCAGATGGCAGCGTGAGCGTAGAGACCCCACTTCCCACACTAGACGTTGTTGCTGAACCCGTTACTGGGAACATTACTTGTGCATTGCTCTGCAAACACAAATTTATATATTTAAACAGACAAAACAATTTATTCATCAGTGCTGATGAACTTTTTTTAATATAGTTATATTCCAGCCAGTACTCAACAAATGGTTGTGTTCCAGCCAGTACACAACAAATGGTTGTGTTCCAGCCAGTACACAACAAATGGTTGTGTTCCAGCCAGTACACAACAAATGGTTGTGTTCCAGCCAGTACACAACAAATGGTTGTGTTCCAGTGAGTACACAACAAATGGTTGTGTTCCAGCCAGTACACAACAAATGGTTGTGTTCCAGCCAGTACACAACAAATGGTTGTGTTCCAGCCAGTACACAACAAATGGTTGTGTTCCAGCCAGTACACAACAAATGGTTGTGTTCCAGCCAGTACTCAACAAATGGTTGTGTTCCAGCCAGTACACAACAAATGGTTGTGTTCCAGCCAGTACACAACAAATGGTTGTGTTCCAGCCAGTACACAACAAATGGTTGTGTTCCAGCCAGTACACAACAAATGGTTGTGTTCCAGCCAGTACACAACAAATGGTTATATTCCACCCAGTACTCAACAAATGGTTGTGTTCCAGCCAGTACTCAACAAATGGTTGTGTTCCAGCCAGTACTCAACAAATGGTTGTGTTCCAGCCAGTACACAACAAATGGTTGTGTTCCAGTGAGTACACAACAAATGGTTGTGTTCCAGCCAGTACACAACAAATGGTTGTGTTCCAGCCAGTACACAACAAATGGTTGTGTTCTAGCCAGTACTCAACAAATGGTTGTGTTAGCCAGTACTCAACAAATGGTTGTGTTCCAGCCAGTACTCAACAAATGGTTGTGTTCCAGCCAGTACTCAACAAATGGTTGTGTGCCAGCCAGTACACAACAAATGGTTGTGTTCCAGCCAGTACACAACAAATGGTTGTGTTCCAGCCAGTACACAACAAATGGTTGTGTTCCAGCCAGTACACAACAAATGGTTGTGTTCCAGCCAGTACACAACAAATGGTTGTGTTCCAGCCAGTACACAACAAATGGTTGTGTTCCAGCCAGTACTCAACAAATGGTTGTGTTCCAGCCAGTACTCAACAAATGGTTGTGTTCCAGCCAGTACTCAACAAATGGTTGTGTTCCAGCCAGTACACAACAAATGGTTGTGTTCCAGCCAGTACACAACAAATGGTTGTGTTCCAGCCAGTACTCAACAAATGGTTGTGTTCCAGCCAGTACTCAACAAATGGTTGTGTTCCAGCCAGTACACAACAAATGGTTGTGTTCCAGCCAGTACACAACAAATGGTTGTGTTCCAGCCAGTACACAACAAATGGTTATATTCCACCCAGTACTCAACAAATGGTTGTGTTCCACCCAGTACTCAACAAATGGTTGTGTTCCAGCCAGTACACAACAAATGGTTGTGTTCCAGTGAGTACACAACAAATGGTTGTGTTCCAGCCAGTACACAACAAATGGTTGTGTTCCAGCCAGTACACAACAAATGGTTGTGTTCCAGCCAGTACACAACAAATGGTTGTGTTCCAGCCAGTACACAACAAATGGTTGTGTTCCAGCCAGTACACAACAAATGGTTGTGTTCCAGCCAGTACTCAACAAACGGTTGTGTTCCAGCCAGTACACAACAAATGGTTGTGTTGCAGCCAGTACTCAACAAATGGTTGTGTTCCAGCCAGTACACAACAAATGGTTGTGTTGCAGCCAGTACTCAACAAATGGTTGTGTTCCAGCCAGTACACAACAAATGGTTGTGTTGCAGCCAGTACTCAACAAATGGTTGTGTTCCAGCCAGTACACAACAAATGGTTGTGTTCCAGCCAGTACACAACAAATGGTTGTGTTCCAGCCAGTACACAACAAATGGTTGTGTTCCAGCCAGTACTCAACAAACGGTTGTGTTCCAGCCAATACACAACAAATGGTTGTGTTGCAGCCAGTACTCAACAAATGGTTGTGTTCCAGCCAGTACACAACAAATGGTTGTGTTCCAGTGAGTACACAACAAATGGTTGTGTTCCAGCCAGTACACAACAAATGGTTGTGTTCCAGTGAGTACACAACAAATGGTTGTGTTCCAGCCAGTACACAACAAATGGTTGTGTTCCAGCCAGTACACAACAAATCGTTGTGTTCCAGCCAGTACACAACAAATGGTTGTGTTCCAGCCAGTACACAGCAAATGGTTATGTTCCAGCCAGTACTCAACAAACGGTTGTGTTCCAGCCAGTACTCAACATCTATTAAAGTTAAGTTTTCTATATTTCAATTAATAAGCTGCAAGTTTGTTTTCTACCAAATGGACAACACTGAAAACAAAATCAACAATAACAATAATAAGTGAAAAACAGTGGTGACAAAATTACCTGTTGGTTGGATTGAACAATAATTTTAGTGGGTGAGGGTCCAGGTCGTATCAAGGTCCTTCCATTTCCACCAGCATAATCCATTAAATCTGACTGGAAAAAATGATAGAGGTTCAAGTATGCATGTTTTGTTTGCAGCAAATCGAGGGAAAAATCCACTTAATAATACATCAGAAATGTGCTCTTGGAAGTCCTGATGTGAAGTCCTAAGTCATCTAGAGCAGTATTGTGAAACTTATTTTCCACTTCATCAAAATTATCTAAATTAAAAATCAATTTGGAGGTTGCATGGATCAAACACCTTTACAATAAAATAATGATACAGCATTAGCATAAAATAATGATCACTTTTGGGTGACATTCTTGAATGTCCCCTCACCTAACATCTCCAGGATGGGCAGGACCACTTTGTTTTCCAGAACCCAACCTTCATGGCAAGACCTGGATCATACTTGGAATGGCTTCTGATAAGTTTCACTACTCCAGGCTTGACTTGACTTGTGACTTGTGACTGAGACTATTACTTGGAGCAGCCTGCAGGTTCATGTATCTGATACAACCGGGCTGGTCCTTGCAGAAACATGTCTAATTTTTTCTTGAAGTCCACTTTTCTTCAAGCAATACTTCTTATCTAAGTTATTGTTATTGGGATGGTATTAAATAGCAGAAGACCTCTGATGTCATACGGGGGTGTTCTCTGAGTGTGCCCATGTCACCTCCACTCTTTGCTGGTTGAATTCAACATTTCCTACATTATTATTCACTCCAGTATGTTATTTTACTATGCAAATTTAGGACCTGGCCTTCCAATATCTTCCATATATATATATTGTGATAACTCTCACATCTCCTTTCTAGAAAGTACATTTTGAGAGCTTTGAGATGGTCTCAATAATTCAGGTCCTTTAATGTGTCTATGTATGCCATGTATGTTCTTTGTAACCCCTCTATATCAGCAATCTCTCCTGCTCTGAAAGGGTAAGAGAGTACAAAGCAGTACTCGAAGTGAGACAGCACAAGCGATTTGAATAATATCAATATTGTCATGGGATCCCTGGATTTGAAGGTTCTTATAATCCATCCTATCATTTTCCTGGCTAACGCTATATTTGCTTGGTTATGTTCATTAAATGTCTAAATGTCAGGTCATCACACATAATTCCCAGATCCTGAATATGTTGTTTTCCTTCTATGAGTAAATATAATTGTCTTACACCCTATATTTTGTTAAAGTTCTTCATTTTTATCACACCTAAGTACCTTGAATTGATTACTGTTAAACATTATGTTAACAGCGCTCAACAAACTGTTGTTAAGTTTTACCTTTTAGTATAATTGCCCAATTACCTATTGCCCAATTTATTACTTTATTTATATCAACCTGAATATGTAAAAGTCTTCTACTGATGTAATTTTTATGCTGATTTGAAAAGTTACTTGTAAAGGCAGAGTTCAAGGTCAACAGAACCAGCTGGTATGTGAACAATGTCTTAAGTAGACCCTGGTCCTGTTTGAGGAGCAACGAGGAGGCTGATAATAATCACATTTTGTAAAGAATAACATAAAAATGGAAGAAACTATGTTTTGTTGTTGTTGTTGATTTAGGGGCAACGACGATCGTGGGATCAGATGCGCCCCGGCGTACCCGTTAAGGGCGAATCGCGAAGCCAGGAAAGGTGAAACGCCAAGCCAAACCGCGAAACAAGTGACGCCAATCACTAGAAACTAATATGCCACACGGCAAATAAACGCACAGTCAGGCAGATGATTGGGGAGGCCTAGGAGTCCCGCAGGGTGACAAGCACCGGCCCCGCCCCACACAGAGAACACCAGGTAGCAAGACCAAAACTCGGCCCCCAACTAAAACACAAAACGTCATCCAGTATCCTCTGGCAGAGCAGAAGCCAGTCACCCAACACAGCTGAGGGAACACCAGGAACCCATCAAGACCCACCAACCCCCGGCACCTCTCGGCCAAGCCGGCCCCCTGATCACCGTCACACCGCCGGGAGAACTAGCCAGAGCACGCCAAAAGAAAAATAAATCACAATCCCGTGACCCAAGGCAATATGTGCGCCAGGCGTTGTACAGTCAGACCATTGAAGAGGGTTGCCAAACGGCAGTAGCAAAGCCAAAACGCGAAAACAGGACGTGATCCGGCGGCTCCCAGGCGGAGGAGGTATCCAGACGTCTGCTCTGCGTCAAGGTTGAACCAGGAGCATCGAAACTATGTTTTAGTGAGCAACTGTCAGGCCACCCAATGTTGACCTTGTGAAATGACTCGACTCCAGCAGAGGGTGACCCGATGTGATTATACTCGTGATGACTTCAAGAGATGACCTCCCTCCATTGTTAGATACCCACACAGTGAATTATACTATAGATGAGTATTGAAAATGGAGTTGTTTTAGTACAGCATGTGTAAGACAAAAACCACTGAATATTTGATAAATAATGATCCAGTTCCAATTAGTTTTGCATTTCATACAATTTTAGGTAAGAATTACTTGTGCATCAATCTCTAAGTACATCTATTATCTATGCAGGTCATGCTACATGTTACTGGAAATTGGTCAATACTTAAACAAAACTAAGAATAATTTTAACAGGAGAAAAATTTAGGTAGAAACTTACCTGCAATGGCCTTATCATAATTGGTTTTAAATTTGTGAGAGCAATGGTTTTAGTGGACGAGGATAAGGGTTGATTCAAAATTGTGCTTCCTCCACCCCCATTTCCTCCTCCACCTCCAACACTCGAATTTAAAAGTTGAACATAATTCACCTGTAAAAAATACAAATGTGATAACACTTCAACCTGATACATTGTGAATGCAACCAATCAAGAGAGGCATCCCTAGTCCCTAGCCCAGGCATATTGTATGTCACAATGAAAATGGCAATACATCCTAGAGAATCATGTCATAAAGTTTAACCCTTAAATTGCGCATCGCATCATATGATGCTTTGACCGACTTGCAGTAAATTGCGCATCGCATCATATGATGCTTTGACCGACTTGCAGTAAATTGCGCATCGCATCATATGATGCTTTGACCGACTTGCAGTAAATTGCGCATCGCATCATATGATGCTTTGACCGACTTGCAGTAAATTGCGCATCGCATCATATGATGCTTTGGAGTACTACACAAGATTTAAACGGCCCGCGGATACACGGGGTTCACCACACCTTCATCAGGGCTCTTGTAAACAGACGCCATTTTTTTTAAAAATCGTGGGCCAAATTCCCGGGTGTTAGGGGCCTCAGTATTGAGTGAGCTACCAAGCCTGACGCACGCAGCATGAGCTCACAGCACTGCTGTTCAGCTTGTGACCACAGCATCGCCTAAAAATGCCATAATATACTTGTTCATGCTATTATGTAGCGATGATATTATTACAAAAGACCCCCTGGCTGAGATAAAAATGACCAGGGTTCTGATAATAGCAGGATTGTGGTGATATTTAGCGCTGTGCTCCATGTTGGGAGGAGTAATGCTGTGGGAGGGGAGGGTAGTGGCGTTGTCTTCTGACTGTGTGTGGCCACCTTTTATTGACTGCACTCACCATACCAGCTTAGTGGTTCGCTATGGTGAACACAAATGTAGATACTTATATATAACATGCGTATAGAGGGTATAAACAGCAAGAGGAGTAGGTTGGGAGCTGCCATTTTGGTGAGGGCGGTGGCGTCGTCTGCACGATTTATCATGTTGTTTACTGGTGACCACGATGGTCTTTGGGCACCATACCAGTTTACTTGTACAAGTATGGTGAATAAAACAGGTAGATATTTATATATAATGTGTGTATATAGCATAATAACACCACAAACAGTATTGTTGGAGGAGAAATATTAGTGCGTCTGGCCTTGAGGGCGGCAGCCACCAGCTGACTGTGTGAGGTCCAACGTCTTTGAGCCTTTACTCACCATACAAGCTTAGATGTACAGTTATGGTGAACAAAACATGTAAATACTTATATATAATGTCTGTATATAAAAGCAAAAACAGTATGGTGGGAGGAGAATGGTGGCAAGTCAGGTGAGGTGAGGTGAGGGAGGGAGGGAGGGAGGGAGGGAGTGGCAGCCAGTGGCGGGCTGCCACTGCCACTCAGTATACCAACTTAGTGGTTCGTTATGGTGAACACGAATGTAGATACTTATATATAGCATCTGTATATAGTAAATAAAAGCAAAAATAGTATTGTGGGAGGAGAATGTGGGTGAGTCAGGTGACTTGAGGGAGGGAGGAAGTAGCAGCCAGTGGCGGGCTGCCACTGGCTGCCACTGCCACTCAGCATGCCAACTTAGTGCTTCGTTATGGTGAACACGAATTTAGATACTTATATATAACGTCTGTATATAGTGAATAAAACCAAAAACAGTATGGTGGGAGGAGAATGTGGGCGAGTGAGGTGTTGAGGGAGGGAATGAGTGGCTGGCTGGAATGTGGCGGTCACTCCTCGTTACTTTTTGACTCATAATAGCTACTTAGTGGTTCGTTATGGTGAACAAAACATGCAGATACTTATATATAACCTGTGTATATAGTGTAATAACCGACAAAGTATTTGTTCACTGTTTGATGAACATAATTGAATCAACAATATGCACACCATATTTTTTAGTACAGCGATGATTTACTCATTTTATTATATAAATATATCACACTACACACTATTGAATAATATTACAGCAAAAAAACTACAAAAAACCAGCGTTGAATGTAATGAAACGCCATTTTCTGGGTGAGCCCCGGAGGCTCCCTGGAGCTTATCGGGCTAATGTATGTTATGTTAGACCGGGACATTAGCTAAGGCGTTCAGACCTACCAGGGACCAGTGCCAGAACCTGGCCCCTTCAGAGAGGTTTCAGGGAGCAATGGCCCTGGAAAACCCCATATGGTTGGGGGTTTTCCTTATCTGCCATCGACCGGGGTTAGGCACCCAGAAAGGTAGGCGTAACAAAACAAACCCCACATGGTAAGAAACTACAACAAAAACCGAACAGAGAGGTAGAAAACTCCCTACAATCCCAAGGAAACTAGCAAACAAGCAAACATCACACTTTACTGCCGCGCCGATCGTCCGCGCAGCCCTCCCCACCCAGGGAGGGGGAGAGGGGAGCCCCGGACCTACCGCGCCGGCTGCCAAGCTCCAGTTCGGAAGCTAAGCTTCAACCAATGTGAAAAAACCGCCGACCGGTGGGAGGGAGGGTTTCCAGGGAGCCTCCGGGGCTCACCCAGAAAATGGCGTTTCATTACATTCAACGCTGGTTTTCTGTGGGGAGCCCCTACGGCTCCCTGGAGCTTCATACCCAAAGAGAAGGAAAAGAAAGGGCTAACCCGGGAGGCGGCCGCCACAAACTCTGCAACGCAAAGCCAATACAACCGGTCGCAAACCTGCGACCCAAGGCAACAAGAACGCCCAAGAACAGACGCACATATGGATGGGCGGCCAAAAACCCCTGCTACCCACAAATCCCTGCGCCCGAAATGAGCCAGAGACGTCACCAACGCAGCAGCAAAAGCTGCAAACGTCTGAACAGCATGGGCGCAAAGACAGACCGCAGGCTGGAAGAAGGAAAACACTGCGGACGACCTGGGAGACCCGAGCCCTGAAAACAGGGAACGAAGGAACCGGATCAACCACAGCGCATCCCCAGACACGGTACGCCGGCAACAGCAAAAAGCACAACCGGACAACACAGGACGCACCCCCCGGCCAAACCAATCAAGCACCAATACCCCAAGAACCCCTCCAGAAAGCAGCCGTCACGACCGGCGCCAGGACAGAGAAAGGCTGCACACCTATAAAGCTACCACCAGTACCAAAGAGCAAGAAACTGAACCGAAGGGGCTACCACAAACTGAGGGGAAGATGATAAGGCACCCTGAACAAGGACCAGGATGGCTCAGGCGACGCATGAGCAGGCCGGAGGGGAAACAAAACACGAGAAAACGTAAGAAACGTCATACTGTCTCCAAGACGAAGCTCGCAGGTGGGACACCGTCAACAAAGCCACCTGAACACCATAGAGATGGTGATACCCGCGTCAAAATACCAGACGCGAAGAGCCAAGGAGAAGGCCGAACCAGTCACGGACAGGACCAATTCGGCCTGCTGAATGAGGCGAAGCCTCAGGAAAAACGCCTCGGGTACGGACACCTAGCAAGCAGCGTCTAAAAAGAAGGCCGGGCCAGCCACCAAGGAACCATAAGGACTGTTCTCGTGGGAATGGGCTGCAACCGAGCCAGAACCCGAAGCATCAGCTGGACCGGGAGAAGAGGAACAGGAACCCCCCACCTCGACCAGTCCTGCCGAAAGCCTCCACCGTGAAGACCTCGCAGGTGGGAAGGGCGCCACAAAATGGACGACGCCTAGACCACGCCGAAGACGTCCATGGCCGGGAGTCCATATGCCCGACAGAGCCAACAAAACGAATCGGCGATGACTGGCCAACCCACGAAGAGGAATGAACCGAGACAGCTGTCCGCCAGGACGCAGGACACACCCCGGACACGAACCACACGGTCAGCCAAACCCCCGTGGTTCCGGCAAGAACCACCAGAGAACAGTCCAAACAGAGCTGAATGGTAGAGTACCTAGTGACTCAAACCCTCCGAAGTGCAAACCAGACAGCCATGAACACCCGAACCGTGCTGTGAGCCCGACGGACAGAGACTCCATCAACCTCAGCCGACCTGGTGAACACTGGTCACAAAGCCCCAGCCGAGAGACGAGCCGTCCGTGAACACATCGAGCGAAGGCTCGGGGAGGTGCCAAGGCACGGAACCCTGAAAACCCCAAAGAGGAAGCTGGTGACGCAGCACCAACACAAAATCCCCGGAGGAACCCAAGGAATGCAAAAGGCGGAAGGGGAGTCTCCGCAGGAACCAACCGACGCCGTAGCCAAACCCGACTCCGCGGGCAGACAAGCACGCCGAGGTGCAGACTCCCGCACAACCGCCCGCACAACCGCTGAGCAACCCGGGACCCCCTCCTGAACAGCCAAAGGCGGGACCACAGCCGCAGTAACACTTCTGGAGGGAAGACAATGAGGGGGCCCAAGAGCCTGAAACAAGGCCCAGGTCCGAACCCGGGACGGAAACAGATGGAAAAACCCCCAGATCACTAGGAAACCAAACCCGGCGATCTGGAAAGAACCATCCCCTGGCGAGCAGACAAGCGGACTGACTGGGAGCCCACACCAGCCAGTCGTCGAGGTAGGCCAGACACCGAATCTCAGATTCAGACAGGGCACTAAGATCCGGTAAAGATGCAAAGAGTATACGAAGTGCCCATTACAAAATAGGGAAGGCAATAAAAACCTGAAGCCCCACCACCAACCGTGCTAGCCCCAGAAAAACTGGAGAGGAACGTGCCAAGAAGTGACCTGGAGGTCCAGGGCCACCATCCATGCACCCGGCCCTAACAGAATCCGAACAGGAGACAACAGTCCTCCGAGGAGGGCAGAGGATCCAGGGCGCAGACTGAAGAAGTCCAGAAGAACTGCAGACGGGAAAAGCTCATGACTGCAAAGAACAGACGGGAAGCCCAGAAGGATGGGGCGGATCGACCATGCCCCACGCACCCACGAAGAGGAAATGACGAAGCGCAGGGGAAGAAGCCCACCCCGCCAGCTCTGAACCCCCCCCCCCCCAAGGGGGAGAAGCCGTCCTCCGACGCCAGCAGAGGCCGGAAGACAATCCAAAGCGCCCACCAACAGCGGGACCAAGCGAGAGGCAACAGAGCAAGCTGCTCCCCCAGCGCCCAGTCAAC